ATTGGTCACTGTTTTTCGTTAATAACTCGCTAACGGTGCCTCGGAGAAAATTTTTGTAAAGGAAGAAGTTGCTTCAAATGATCTGAGGAACCCGCCATTTCCGGATTGCGAGACATTTTTGGGAAAGACTAGTAGACTGTTGTAAATCGATGTGAAGACAAAAGAAGTGTGAAACAATGCATATGAAGATGATTATTTGGTTCATACGATGAGCAAGTGAGCTACTATTTCTAAAATATGATATCCGCGGAAGCCACTATAGTGGCGCGTCGGGCCTAAAAGATTAATAGACTAATATCAGTTGCGTTTCTTAATTTATGTTGCCTTTTTGAATCTTCCAATTATCCGTGTCTCAACAAATTTGTATAACTTCTTCACGAAATTTGACCTCGCTACATCAAACAGGTTTAGTATTTTTTGCTCAGGTACGCGCAACTAACTCTTTTGGTCAGCAGTAATAGGGCTAAGTTCACGAATTCGATTTCAAGCGCTCTACGCCCACTCTTTAATTATCCAACTGACCAGTTAACGCGTGAACTGCCGTCACAGCTGTGCGACACAGAAGTTTGCATTAGGTTTGGAAGTGAATTTTAGTTTTAATTAGACAGCGGATATTTAAGCAAATGCATGTTAACATTACCTTTCCATGTGAACACAAACGCATGAACGTTGGTATAGTTTACATTTAAGATACAATAAATGCGCAACAAAAAATCGCAATATGACTTTCGAGAGGCCATTCTATGGGGGAAATTCCTTTCCATTCCTTTCCATCTTCAAACACTATGTTTTGTATCAAAATAGTTTCCTTTAAAAAAACGTATAAAGTCCAAGGATGTGAAAGTAGAACTTTGCTTTCCAACGTGAGGACATGCAAAATGTAAGATACTTTTACACGATATTGAAGAGGAGTTCGAAGATCGATAATTCTCTGTTCACAATTTAGCGATTCTCCGATTTGATGAAACAGTGTTTAATGTGTTCCGAAGACAGATTTTCTTAGAGCTCCATCTTAATCCCTCTCTCCCCTACGTGTACACGGACTGCCGCCCGCTAAATTAATTTTAAGTGACTGATCCAAATGGAGAGCAAGTGGTGTTTGATGATTCGTGTCGTACGATTTACGTCACGGATGTTTGACGCAATAAAACCAGCTATGGAGGAGCATTTGTAGAGGGTTAAGCTCTCGGTGTGTCCGATTCTATCTGCGGATTGTACAAGATGTTTGGGGAAAGTTGGGAGAAAATTTCAGGAGTTTTCGTTCGTGAAGCCTGAGAAATCGGGGAAACAGAAATTTCTTGCATTATTTTGTACAGGGCGAGTCATTTACTCTCATTTAATTTAAATGTTTAATTATTCAATTTTTCTTGCGAGCAATTACTTTTGCTTGTTCTATAAAAAAAATGTTTAGAACGAAAATTGTGAAATGGAGCACACACGACAATAATTCTTTTCTCTTGCTATATTCTCCCTCTTTTATCAAAATGTGAAGGTCACTTGATAAAATATGAACAATTACGACACAATTGTGTCGTAGTGTCATTATCGGAGTTAATTATATATATGTGTGAAATAAAGTCTCGTCTGAACTACAATCGAGTGAGGACGAAACAAACATGAATACATAAAAAAATAAGAAACAAATTTGGTATATATTTTGAATTGGGCCAGATATAAACGCTGGAGCAAATTCTGCTACATTATTAAAATTATCAAAGGAAGAGATCAATTTCTGTTTAGCTGCTGCTTCTTTAACAACTAATGCAGAAAAGTGTTATTCTGCATAAAAGACATTCCACGGTCTATTTATGACTATGTTGACTTAACCTTTTCAATATTTAGTTCTTACGTGGCACGACAGCCACATTGATTATGAATTAGTGGTATTTATGAAATTGTTATTGCATATTGTCATTTATCATTTGATCTGCAATGATCTTTACATAATTTATATTATGAACATAATGTAACCAGAAGTAATATAACCTGGTGTGTTATATACTATACTGTTATATACTATATATACTACGAACATAAAGTCATAAAAATAATATAAACAGTAGATATTTCATCAATTACACTTCTTCATTTCAGTCAACACTGAAAGGGTAAAATCATAATTGTCAACAATATCATAATTATAATTGGTCAAATCGTAATTGCCAACAATATCATAATTATAATTGGTCAAATCATAATTGTCGATAATATCACGAGACTACAAGACAGAAGAAAAGCCGAAAATCTTTTCGAAACTTGTAGGAAATGAAAAGTATAAAACATTGTAGTCTAATGGAGCTGATTACTGTGGGGTGACCAATTGCTGTGTTTTTTGGTTTGATTTGGGCGCGATTAGCTTTATATTTGTCGAATATACGACATATTAAATGTTTGTATTCAAAAATAAACAAGATAAAAGAATGGAAAAATTGGTTATGCCTTATTTAATAAATATAAAGTTAACTATGCTGGACGAGAAATCCCATTTGGATTTCCCGACTCCTATGCAAAAAGAGTCAATGTCTTCTGCAAACGTCTTCGGATATTTTGCAGACCGGCAAAGTGACCAACAATCTCGTGTAAGTTAACTCTTTGCACTCCACTGTCCCCTCTCATGGGACATCGTAATTCTAGCATATCACTCGGATGTCCCCTCTCGTGGGACATTCAAGTTTATTAGTGATTACGGGGAATTGCGTTATTTCAGCGCAACTTTTTCAGACATGCATGTTTCCCTGAAGTTTTCTCTTGAAATGGCACAAGAAATCAAATCAAAATATAGTAAAATTACTAAGATATATGCAAGAAATGTCAGCGGGTTTTGACGAGAACGTGAGAGGCGTGTTCACGACGGTCCGAGCACTTCAAAG